GGCCTCTGATCCACCTTGAGTTGATTTTTGTGTATGGTGAGAGGTGTGGATCCTGCTTCAGTTTTCTGCAGGTAGGAGTCCAGTTTTGCCAGCACCATTTGTTGTTGAAGATGTTGTTATTTCCCCACTTGATAGATACCCCGCCCCCTGCTTTTTGAGTACCAGTTGATCATTGATATGTGGGTTAATTTCTGAGTATTTTGCTCCATTGGTCTATGTGCCTGTAATTGTACCAGTGCCATGTTCTTTTGGTTATTACAGCTGTATAGTAGGTTTTGAGATCAGGCAGTCCTATGCCTCCCACTTCATTCTTGTTTTTCAGAAGTGCTTTGCTTATTTGAGGTATTTTTCCTCTTCAAACAAACTTGCCAATTGCCTTTTCTATCTCTTTGAAAACTGAACTTACCTGTATTAGGATTACATTAAATATATAGGTTGCTTTTGGTAGGATTATCATGATGAATTATTTTTGATGTGCTATAGGATTCTACTGGCCTGAATATTTGTTAAAGATTTTTGCATCTGTGCTCACTAGAGATAATGTTCTGTAGTTTTCTTTTTTGGTAATGTCTTTGCCTAGTTTTGGTGTTAGGGTTAGCTTGCTTCATAGAATGACTCTGGGAGTGTTTCTTTGTTTTCTATTTTTTGATAGAATTTAAGTAGACTTGGTGATAGATCCTCTCTGAATCTTTGATAGAATTCAACTGTGAAGCCATCTGGGCCAGGGCTTTTTTAGGGGAGACTTCTTATGACCTGTTCAATTTCTTCTTTTGTGATGGATCTGTTCAAGTATTTTGCATCTACCACCTTTGTCAATTTTGGTTTCTGGGGATTTGCCTATTTTCTCTAGGTTTTCAAATTTATCAGAGTATAGTTTTCATAATATTCTGATAATTTAATTTCATCTGGTTCTATTGTGATGACCCCTCTATCATTTCTTATTTGAGTTATTTGTCTACTCTCTTTTCTTTTGTTAAGTTTGCCAGTGGTTTACACATTTTATTGACCTTTTTGAAGAACCAGCTCCTGGTCTTATTGATGGTTTCAACTGGTTTTTCATTTTGATATCCTCTTAAAGTTCTTCTGATCTTTGGCCGTCAGTGTTCAATGCCTCAAACCTATTCTTCAGGTGGTTTCTAAATTCAGGTGGTATTGTCTCCAGGCTATGTCTGATGGTTCTTGTGGACTTATTTTAATTTTCTTAAACTTCAGTTTGAACTTGCACATAAGTAATTGGTTATCTGTTCCACAGTCAGCACGTGGCATGGTTTTGGTGGCTGATACTGAGTTTCTCCACCAATTCTTTCCACAGATGTAGTCCATCTGATTCCTGTGCAAACCTTTAGGTTAAGTCCAAGAGGGATTTGCAATAAATAAATTCTTGAATATACAAAGTTCAGTCATTCTATCTCCAGCCTCATTTTTGTTGCTAGGTCTGTCATTTTTGACTACCATTCTTTCCTTTTGTTTCCAAATTTGCATTCTAGTCACTGTTGCAAACTGCAACCCTTTTTCCTGGAAGAAATGAACATAAAGAGACAGACACACACAGAAGACAAGACAGGACTACACCAAAGAAAAACACACAGATGGGACAAGAAGCTGCAGTGTCGTGGTGCTGCGTTTACAGGAATTTATAGGGGTCTAAGCAGTGATCTCATTTTTTAGGGTTTCCATAGAATCATAATAAAGAGTGATCTCATATCTCAGTTTACATAGAATCATAAAAGGTGGGTACAGAAACAATCGAGCAAGGGAGGGTACACAGTCTGTTCCTTATGATAGATGTCGCTTTTCACATGAAAGGAGTCGGGAGACCGAAACTACTTAAGATATATGATTTACAGGAAGAGAGACCTCCAAGTTCCCTGCCCATTTGCAGAAGAGAGGACAGAGGTTTCTCTTTAATTATTAAACCAGAGAGTTATCTGTTTGCAGGCTGAACTCTCAATAACCCGGAAGCCCACCCACGTGCAGGCTGAACTTCCAATAATGGTGTCTGGTCCTCCTCAAGTCACCAATTAAGAAAATTCATAAACTACCTTCATTATGTAGATTGTACAACTTTGATTGCTGAAAGTGAAGAGGACTTGAAACATGTTGCAGAAAAGAAAAGATTACAGTGTGAAACATGAATTACATATTAATATCAAGAAAACAAAGGTCCTCACCACTGGGCCAATAGGCAACATCATGAGAGTTAGAGAAAAGATTATCAAGGATTTAACCTTGTTTAAATCCACAATCAACACCATTGGTACCAGCAATCAAGAAACCAAAATATTTATGGGTCTGGGAAAGTATGTTGCCAGTGACCTCTCCAAATTACTGAAGAGAAATGATATTACCTTAAAGACTAAGGTGAGCATAGTTCAGATTATGGTATTTTCAGTCACCTGCTATGCATCTGAGCACTAGATGATGAATAATGATAACAGAAGAAAGAATGATACCTTTGTGGTATTTGAGAAGAATGGTACCTTGTGGTGTTTGATCAGAGTGCCGAGTGTCTCATGGACTTTCAAAAGAAGAAACATATGTTTTGGAGAAAGTGCAGCTAATGTGTTCCTTGGAAGCTAGGATGGTGAAACTTCATCTCATATACTTTGGGCATGTCATTAGGAGAGGCTATTTCTTGGGGAAAGACATCATTCTTGGAAAGGTGACATCAGCAAAAGAAGAGGAGACTCTCAATGAAATGGTTTGACACAATAGTTGCAAAAATAGCATCAAGTATATCAGAGACGATAATGATGGTGCAGAGGATTCAGAATGATCCACTGTTCATAGACCACTATGAGTTATACTCAATTTGATAGCACTTTATTTCCCCATACCTTTTCAATCTTTATGCAGAACAGGTTATCTGAGAGGCTGGGCTCTATGAGGAGAAATGTGGCATCAGGATTGGAGGAAGAATCATTAACAATATGCATTATGCATATGATACAACTTTGCTGAAACTGAAGAGGACCTGAAGCACTTGCTATGGAAGGTCAGGGACTGCAGTCTTCAGTATGGATTGAATCTCAATGTCAAGAAAACAAAGATTCTCACCACTGGGCTGATTGGCAGCATCATAATGGATGGTGAAGAGATTGAGATTGTTCACAGTTTTGGTTTGCTTGGATCCACAGTCAACACTCTTGGCCCCAGCAGCCAAGAAATTTAAAAGACGTATTGTGATGGGAAAGTCTGTGGTTAGAGACCTCTCTAAAGTGCTGAAGTGCAAATATGTCAGTCTGGAGACTAAGGTGCACCTGATACATGCCATGGTCTTTGCAATCACTTGCTATGTATTGGAGAGCTGGACAATGACTAGGAATGATAGAGGGGGAATTGATACCTTTGAGATGTGGTGTTGGAGAAGAGTATTGAATATACCATGGACTGCTAGGAAAACGAACAGGTTTGTCCTGGAGAGTGTGAAGCATGCTGCTTCTTGGAGGCAAGAATTTTGAAGCTTCACCTGACATAATTTGGGCATGTTGCAAGGAGGGACCAGTCCTTGGAGAGGGATGTCATGCTTGGGAGGCTGGAGGGACAGCACAGGAGAGGAAGACCCTCAATGAGGTGGATTGATTCAGTGATTGGGGTAATAATGGGGGCAGGTGTGTTGGAGATGGTGAGATTGGCAGAGGATAGGGCAGAGTTTAGGGCTGTTGTACATAGGGTTGCTATGAGTTGCAGGCAACTTGACGGCACATAACAACAATAACAAGTTTATTTACAAAATTCTAATACAAATTTGAACAAATTCTTTCAGTTTTTCTCACCCCCCCATCAAATTGTATAACCCAATGATTAATTCCCTCTTCCCCTGTACATTCACATCCCTCTGCTTCTAGCCTCTCCCACTACTCCTGGATCCTTATACTTTTTCTACAATAATGCTCCTATACAATATTTTTCCTTGTGGGATTGAGTTAGTTCACTCAGTATAATGCTCTCCGGCCCCTCCCAAGTTAGGTAATAATTACAAAGTATTGCTCCTTTGTACTGCATAGTAGTCCATTGTGTGAATGTACCATAATTTCTCAATCCACTCATTTATGCTTGGACATTTGGGCTGTTTCCATGTTCTTGCGATGGTGAATAATGCTACTATGAACACTGATGTACAAATCTCCATTTGTGCCTCGGTGCTCATATTGTCAGGGTATAGCTGGGTTTTAGGTTCAGCTTTTTGAGGAAGCACCAAACGTCTTCCAGAATGGTTGCACCATTTTACAATCCCACCAACAATGTATGAGTTCCTTTCTTGTGACATCCTCTCCAACATTTATTACTTGCTTCCCTGTTAAATTTTGCCACTCTTACTGGAGTGAGATGGTACCTCATTGTGGTTTTGATCTGCATCTCTCTTATTGCCAGTGATTTTGAGCATTTCTTCATGTGTCTATTTGCCATTCAAATATCTTTCTCTATGAAAATTCTTTCTGTGTCTTTTGCCCATTTTGTAATTGGGTTATCAGTCTTTTTCTTGTGGAGGCCCATGTGTATTCTATAAACATTTGTTATAAGACTCTTGTCTGAGTTGGCATTACCTAATGTTTGTTCCCAGTCTATAGGTTTTCTTTTTACCCTGTTAGAAAAAGTTTTTGATGTGCTCAGAGATTTAATCTTTAGAAGGTTCCATGCATCAATGTTATCCTCTTTAGATCATTTGATAGCACTTAAAAAAATTTTATTATTTTTTTGTGTGTACCATCAAATAGGATCCGACTGGTACAGGAGGAGATTGCCCCTCCTTCTCTAGCAGAGCACCTGGTGGATTCAAACTGTGCGCCTCTGGGATTACAGTGCAGCTTCTTGCCACCAGGACACCAGAGCTCCCTAATAGCACTTTAACAACAATAACATTTGATATTTTGCCCATAGGATTGCAACTTTTATACACATATAAAAGAAAGTAGAAATCGATTCATAACTGACCCTTCAGTGATTTTTTAAAAGATTTTTTTAATTGGCTTTCTTACAAAGTTTTTGTACATTGTGTTTCACACTATGCCCTGTATGACATTGCTCACTGACATCCCCATGGTTTCCTGAGGAACGTCTTTCCCAGCTTCTTCTTCCTCAGGAGTGTCCTCCAGTGCCCTCTGGAGAACCATCTTGAGGGTTGGACGCTGCTGCTGCTGTCTAAAGGAGCCAACGAAGAAATAAATGATGGGATTGGCACTGCTGTTAACACAGGAGAGAAGCAGAGACTCAGCAGGAGGTATTAACACAATAGGATTTGGAATCCACATGAATAGATATTGATGGATACCAAAGGGCAGGCCACAAAGGAGGAAAATCAACACTGTTAGCACGATGGTCACATAGGCCTGGTCAGTTTCTTTCTCTGGAAACCACAGAACATCTTCAGCAGCAGAGCCAGACTAGACCCAGAAAGAACCACAAACAAGAAAATCAGCCAAGAAGCAAGGACAAAATCAATTATGTGACAGTTATCATATGTATAATTATTAAACATGCCACATATGTATCCTTCCAGAATGCTCAACAGTAGAGACAAAGTCCAGAGCATGACACATGTGACAGTGGACATGTGACTTGGACGTCGGCATCGGTACCAGATGGGGAACAGGACACAAAGGCAGCGTTCAGTGCTGATGCAGCTGAGAATGCTCAAGTCAGTGATATAGGCAAAGGTCCACATAATGTTGACATAATTGGAGATGGGATGGTCTATGGGATAGTTGTTGTCAATAACCTTCATCACAGATAATATAATCTCAATGACTAGAGAGAGGAAGTCAGCCCCCGCCAGGTTGAGAATGTAGACAGAGAAGGAGTTTCTCCGCAGGCGGAAGCCCAGGAGCCACAGCACAAGTGCGTTTCCTGACAGCCCTCCCAGGGCAATGATGAGGGTCAAAATCTCCAAGGTCAAGGTCTCTGTGTTATCATCTGGAGATGAATTTTCATTTATTGTAGTATTTTCAGTTTCCCATTCTGAGGTGGCTGGAGTCATGCTTAGAAACCCTCCACTGGTGTTCCTGAAAACACAAACAAGACAGCATTAATTGTGTGGTCACTGGCAATCATGATCACCCTATTAAATGGGAATAATTGTCTCAGTTTTACAGAAAAGGGAAATGGAGGATTGCAGAAATAAAGGAATTTGTTGCACTCAAGATAGTCCTGGAATCAGGCATTAATCTCAGGTGTGTGATCAGTTTATCGTCTAATCTCTCCACATCCTTTATTTACACGGGACTGTTTTGTGAATTGTGGAGTTCTAGGTGTGTAGTGTTTTATGTATCGGGCTGCTAATGGAAAGGTCTAGAATGCCGTTGGTTCTGGGCAGAAGGTTGAGCATTCTCTTTCTTCTAAAGATTTGCAGCCTGGGAAACCCAATGAAGAACCTTCTTGAGTTAGAATATACTCTCCAGAGTGATGCGGTTTCTGTTTCTGTTTGTTTCATTCTGTTCTGAAGGAGGTCTGATGGGTTTGTGGTTAAGGCGCTTGGATGCTAGGCAACACATGAGCTGTTTAATTCACCAGCTCCTCTGAGGGGAAAATGTGACAAAGTCGACTTCCGTGAATCTATTCTGTCCTAAAAATGGCAATGGTTTTTTATTTGTGTGCTTATTTCTCCTGGGATAGGATGACATGGTGAAGAAGACTTTGGTTGTCTGAAACATTGAGGCCAGCAATTTAAGTGTTTCTTGCATAAGTCAATTTAATAACTGTTTGTTCTTAGAGCTACATAGTGCCACTGTTGTAAAACAGGACTGACATCGTTGTTGGAGGCAGACTGAGAAAATGGGATAAATAATGTATACTGTATTGAAACAGGTGAGAGAGAAAACTGTTTAAAAGGGATATGTGATTAGGTATTATTTTCATGACAGGAGTCCAGAATGAAGGCTGCATAGTGGAGTGGACTTAGGGGGAGGAATTTTATAACAATGAAAGAATTTTTCTTTTACTTTTCAAAGAGAAGAGTGAATTGGAGGGAGGGAGGGGTGGGCAGGGAGAAAAGTGCAACAGTGAACGAATGGAAATCTCTGTAAATTTTCATTAAAATTAATAAAAAAACCCACCCAAAATAGTGCATTTAAAATACTTATAAGTATCTGTGTATCCCTAATGCCCTGATGCCACAATGACTAAACAATAGACTGATAAATGAAAGATCAGCTTTGAACTCATCTGCTGCTCCAAAAGAAAGCTGTGGCAATTTGTTTCTGTAAATATCTGAGCCTTGGATACCCCTATGCGACAATTCTAATCTGTCCTGTAGAGTTATTACAAGTAGGAATCAACTCTATGGTCATAGATTTGGCTTAGCTATCATTGTTACACTTTATTATGCTCACTTCCAGTGTATTTATGTTGAAGATATATTTCCATAAAATTACAGCAATGAAAGAAGGTATTAAAAAACAGTCTCAAAATCGCTGAGGAGACACACTGAAAAACTGATTCAATAGTAGTGAAATGAAGAAAAATCTCAAGAAATACAAATTTTGTGAGGATATATAATGCATGTTGGATTTTTCCATTTGCTATGAAGGTCTTCTTTCATCTTCTTTACTCTGTGTGTACCTCAGCTGGCTATGACTGTGTTCCTTATTAACGATCTCTCTTCCCCTCTGGCTTCTTGTTTGTTTTTTCTTTTTTTTTTAAAAATTGAGATTTTAATGAAAATTAAACTTGAATTTCCATTCATTCATTGCACGTTTTCCTCCCCTCCACCCCCAGTTAACTTTTCTCTTTGGGAAAAAAATTCTTCCATTTTATATAGTCTTCCCCCCACTCCCCCAGTCCACTTTACTATGCAGCTCTTATTCTGGACTTACATCATGCAAATAATACCTAATCATATATTTCTTTAATACAGTTTTCTCTTGTCTGTTTCAATTCTGTGTACATTATTTATCCCCCTTTTTTTAGTTTTCCCCAACTATATCAGTCCTGTTTCATAACAGTGGCATTGTGTAGTATTTGTCCTTTTGTGACTGAGATATTTCACTCATAATAATGTCCTTCAGTGTCACCCATTTTGTATAATATTTCATAAGTTCCTTGTTTTCAGTGCTACATAATATTCTATTGTGTGAACATACCACAGCTTCTCTATCCATTCTTTTGTTGAAGGACACTTGGGTTGTTTCCAACTCTTTGCTATTGTGAACAAAGCAGCAATAAACACGGGTGTGCATATATCTGCTTGGATGGCAGTTCTGGTCTCTCATTCCTTGTTAAGTTTACTTAAAGGAAGACACTCATAGGAGATTGGAGGGAAGGTTGTTAAGATTTGAAAGCTCTACGTTTATCGCCTAGTGCTCTACTTTCTTGGCTATGTGTTGGCTATTGTTATTGCTAGGTACTGTCAAGTCAGCTACAATGAATCTGAGCTCTGTTCTGTCCTGTGCCATCCTCACTGTCTTTAAGCCCTTATTGAAGTCAATATGCCAATCCATCTTATTGAAGGTCTTCCTCTCTTTCGCTGGCCCTGTACCTTTCCAAGCATGATATCCTTTTCCAAAGAATAATCCCTCCTAATAATGTACTCAAAGAACATTGAGATGAAACTTTGCCATCATTGCCTCTAAGGAACACTATGGTTCCACTTTCTCCGAGATATAGACATTTGCTTTTTGGTGGTCTATGGGATATTTATCTTCTCCAACACTATAATTCAAAAGCATTGATTCTTCTGTCATCCTTATTCATTGTATAGCTTTCATATGATTGATCTCAATGTGATTGAAAAGACCATGGCCTGCATCAAGTGCATCTTAGTCTTCAAACTGACATCATTGCTCCTTAGTACTTTGGAGAGGTCCTTGACAACAGACTTTTGCAATTCAATAGATCTTTTAATTTCTTTTTTTGCATATAAAATTTTTTAATTGAGATTTTAATGAAAGTTTATAGAAAACTTGGATTTTCATTCACTTATTGTTGCACATTTTCCTCCCTGACCCCTAGTTCACTTTTCTCTTTGAGAAGAAAAAAAAATCCTTTCATTGTTATACAATTCCCCCCACCCCCACCCCAGGCCATTTTACTATACAGCTCTTATTCTGGACTCTTGCCATGCAGATAATACCCAATCATATATTCCTTTTAAACAGTTCTCTCCCTCATCTGTTTTAATGCAGTGTATATTATTTATCCCCTCTTTCCTTAGTTTCCCCCCACCTCCCATATCAGTCCTGTTTTATAACAGTGGCATTGTGCTGTATTTGTCCTTTTGTGATTGAAATATTTCACTCAACATAATGTCCTCCATGGTCACCTGTTTTGTATAATATTTCATGAGTTCCTTGTTTTTCAATGCTGAGTAGTATTCCAAGATGTGAATATACCACCGCTTCTCTATCCATTTGTTTGTTGATGGGTACTTGGGTTGTTCCCAACTCTTTGCTATTGTGAACAAAGCAGCAATAAACATGGGTGTGCATATATCTGTTTGGGTTGCGGTTATGGTTTCTTTAGGGTATATTCCCAGTAGTGGAATTGCTGGATCAAATGATATTTCTATTTCCAATTTTTTGAATAAGCACCATACTGCCTTCCACAGTGGTTGCACCATTTTATACACCCACCAGCAGTGAATAAGAGTTTCATTTTCTTCAGAACCTTGCCAGCATTTGTTATTTGCTGCTCTGTTAAATTTTGCTATTTTTCCTGGGGTGAGATGATAGCTCATAGTTGTTTTGATTTACATCTCTCTTAGAGATATGGATTTTGAAAATGTCTTCATGTGTTTGTTTGCCATTTGAATGTTTTCTTTGGTGAAGTGTCTGTTCATATCCTGTGCCCATTTTGCAATTGGGTTGTTTACCTTTATCTTGTAGTGGTGAGATCTTTTAATTTCTTAACAGCTGGTACGAAGGGTGTTGATTATGGATCCAAGTAGGATGAAATAGTCAACAAAATATATTCTCCATCTATCATGATGTTTCCCGTCACTCCAGTGGTGGGGCTTTTTGTCTTGTTAATGTTGAGATGTAATTCATAGTTAAGTCTGTAATATTGATCTGCACCAAGCAGTTAAAGTTCTACTCATTTTCAGTAAGCAAACTTGTATCATCTGTATAATGTAGATTGTTGATGAGTCTCCTTCTGATGCTGATACCAAACTCTTTTTTATCAAGTTCAGTTTCTCACATGTTATTTTCAACATACAGATTGAAGAGGTGTGGAGAAAGCATAAAGTCCTGACTCACGCCTTTCTTGATTTTAAATCACATAGGGTTCCCTTGATCTGTTCTGAGAGCAGCCTCTAATTCTAGCTACAAATTTTGTGTGAGCATAATTAAATGTTCTGAGTTTCCCATTCTTCTCAATATGCTTAAGTTGTTATGATCCACACAGTCAAATGCCTCTGAATAGTCAATAAAGCATAAATGGACATTCTTCTCATAGTCTCTACTTTCATCTACTTTTCATCTGATATCAGCAGTGATTTCCTCGATGCCTTGGCCTCTTCTTTTTTTTTTTTAAATGGATTTTAATGAAAATTTACAGAGACTTTGGATTTCCATTTATTCTTGCACTTTTTTCCCTGCCTACCCCTCCCCATCCCAATTCACCTTGGCCTCTTCTAAACCCACCTTGAACTTCTAGCAGTTCTCTGCCAATGTACTGTTCTGGTTGATTTTTTGAATGATCTTCAGCAATATTTTGCTTGCATGTGATATTAATGATGTTATTGAATAATTTCCACATTGTGTTAGGTCACTTTTCTTAGGAATAAAAACAACTATCAATCTCTTCATGTAAGTCTTTCCTGGCACAGACTGGTGAGCACATCCAGGGATGCATTTGTTAGTGGAAATATTTCAATTGGCGTCTCATTAATTCCTCAGGCCTTATTTTTTTGCCAATGCCTTCAGTGCAGCTCAAACTTCTTCTTTCATTACTCTTGGCGCTTTGTCATATGCTGCTTCTGGAAATATTTTAATGTTGACCAATTGTTTTGGATACTGTGACTCTGAGGGTTCCCTCCGTCTT